CATCTGCATCACATAATCATTTCTGATGGAAAATACACCCACTCCAACTCACACCCCAACACCAAGATCTTGCATTTGGAAATAATCAAACATATGAGCATAAATATACAGAAATTATTATAATTACTTGAAAAGAGGAATATAACAATTAATAATAGCCTAATATAAATAAATTATATCAATGAGAACTCATAAAGATTGATATAGGATTAAAAAATGAATGAATAAATAAAAAGACAATCAAAACCTAATAAATTAAACCAATGTGCATAAAAACATTTTCACATTCACCAACGTTTTGTGTTTAGTAGCAATGTCAGTTCACAATACTCATCGCTCACAATGTTCATCTAACACATCGGGCCTCCTTCATGCACGATTATCAAAATGTAAAAACATTTTTGCATAAATTGCTGCCACAATTTACAGATGTTTTTATGAGCAACTTACTGTACACTGATATTCATTGTGCTTTTGAGCTGAAGTTTAGTGCCACTTTTGAATACTGTATAATTGTAACAGAAAATAGATCTCAAATCGACCTCACTATAAACACTGTGTGCAGTTATGAATATCAATCTCATCTTGAGCTTTTTGGACAAGCTTTGAAATTTATATTTATAACATTTGCCTTGAAATGTGCATATAATGTGTGGGAAGGTTAGTCACAAACATTGTTAACTTCAGCTGTTTATATTTTAATACAAAAACAATAGCATTGATATATGAAACTTTTATGGCCACCTTTCAAACAAGGACAACAACAACAACAAAAAATGCTACCATCATGTGTAATTATTTTTTGAATAATATATATTTTCACAGTTCAAAATGGAGAATGACATTGTTTGCGTTCCAGTAATATAATGAGATTTCAAGTTTAAAATCTGCTTGATCATGAAGTCACAATTCCAAACACTGAGGTTTAATATAACAACCACAAAGATGCATATCACACAAATACTGGATGATGAAATAGGGGGTTTTGTTTAAAGATAATAACTAAAGTGTTGGTGTCAATAGATAAGTATGGTCTGCCAGGTTTTAGGTCAAAATTAAATGTTGAAATAATGCAAATTAAATCTACTCTATCATTTGTATCTGTACTCTTACTTTATTTTGTGCACCACTTTTCATATGGATCTTTTTGAATATGAAACATCCAGGGTATTTTATATAAAGTTAAGACTGTGTTCAGCCTATTTTGATCTCATTTCATAAACAGATGCATTTTCATGGTGAGTACGTGAAAGATAAATGAACTCAACAACATTTGTATGCTCCCTAATGATGTCAAAAAATCTCAAACTGTATTGGGAAGACCAAAATATTTATACTTTCAGTTTTGCAAGCGTTTACAAAAAAAATCGCTTTTTAAAATCACTTTTTATGTTATTTTTGTAATCTAACAATATAATGCCTGTTAGTGATGTTTGCATGTTGACTTCCTGAATTGAGGTGCAATATGAGTTTTGCATTTTAGTTAAACTTTAGCTGCATGTGTCTGCTGTAATACACCTACAGTCACGTAACTTTACACCTACAACCTTACACGACCACATACACTTACAGTCACGTAAGCTCGTATAGATACAGATCTGCTCTTAATCATCCTGTGCTGGGAACTCTGCTCAATCTGACCGCTCTCAAGGGACGTCTATTTGATCAAACTCTACCTAAGACCAGGGAAGCAAACTTTTGTGGTAAGTACAGGGTGTAACTCAGTTTTTATATTAGTGACGAAAAATGTATTTCAAATAAATATGCATTTGGACAAGTCTGAATGACATAACTTTTAGAAAAGGTGCGATCAAGCACAGGAATAAGTACATATTAAAATGAAATAAAAAGAACCACATTTGGTTTTGTTATAATACAATGACTTTCTGGCATTTTTAAGTGTGACTTGCATGTTTGAATATATTTTAAGGGCACTGTTAAAAAAGCTAAATAAATAGCCTAAATAAATAATAAATCCAAGTATTTTTATTAGGTAACAAAACCAAGGGGCATGGTTTATTTTATTATTATTTTTGGTGATGCAACTTCTCCTGTGCATGATTATGCATTTCCTGTGCATGATCATAGTGCCATAAAAACATGAAAGTCACATTTAAAAATGTCTGAAAGTTGAAGTTTAAGTACCTATAAATGTTGCATTTTAACTCTCATATAATGTCAATCTTGCTATTTTTCAGAGTCCTTTCACATGCAAAATGACAAATCACTGGGTCATTTTGTCAGTCTACATTGTGACGTTTCTAATCGGCTTGCCGGCCAATCTCCTGGCCATATGCACGTTCATAAAAAAACTCTGTGACAAACCCAGTCCGAATGACATCCTCCTCCTCAACCTTACGGTGTCCGACTTGGTCTTCCTTTTCTTTCTGCCCTTCAAGATGCATGAAGCTGCCACAGAAATGCACTGGTACTTACCCCAGAGCCTGTGCTCAATCACATCCTTCTTCTTTTTCACCACCATTTACACCAGCTCCCTGTTGCTCATGGCTATAGCCGTGGATCGCTACTTAGGACTGGCCTTTCCGTTCAAATACAGACTCATGCGAAGGCCTCTTTACGCCTGGGTTGGCAGCGTCTTAATCTGGCTGATCAGTGCCGGTCATTGCACCATCGTATTCATCATTGTCCATATGCCAGATCAGACCCGCGCTGAACCCAAACCCGTCTGCTATGAGAACTTCACCGACCAGCAAAAGAAGGTCTTGTTACCAGTTCGTCTAGAGTTTTTTGTGGTTATTTACATGCTACCGCTCTTAGTTTGCATATTCTGCTATGTGAACTGCATCTGTATCTTGTATAGCAGGCCTCACATCGCCAAAGTGAAAAAGCAAAGGGCCATTGGGATGGCGTTGTGCACCCTGACCATCTTTTTACTCTGTTTTCTGCCCTATAACATGTCCCATCTGGTGGGTTTCAGCAGCAACAACAGCCCGACGTGGAGGTACTACACACTCCTGCCCAGCACGCTCAACACATGCCTCGACCCATTCGTCTTCTACTTCTCATCCTCCACTTTCCGTCAAAGTGCTACGATCGCTTTACTCAAGAAATGGTGTTTTAGGCATAAGGAGGATAAGTCTGAAACTGAACTGAAGATTATTTCAAAATGAACTGCTTTTGCACCCGAATGTCACTATTATGTCTTCACCCTGAACCGCAATGTATAAAAAAAAAAAATCTAGCATTTGTCGAAATGTTTCGAGATTAAAGTCGAAATGTTTCGAGATTGAAGTCGAAATGTTTCGAGATTGAAGTCGAAAACTTTTGAGTTTGAAGTCGAAAACTTTTGAGATTGAAGTCGAAAACTTTTGAGGTTGAAGTCGAAAACTTTTGATATTGAAGTCGAAAACTTTTGAGATTGAAGCCGAAAACTTTTGAGATTAAAGTCGAAAACTTTTGAGATTGAAGTCTAAATGTTTCGAGATTAAAGTCGAAATGTTTCGAGATTGAAGTCGAAAACTTTTGAGTTTGAAGTCGAAAACTTTTGATATTGAAGTCGAAAACTTTTGAGATTAAAGTCGAAAACTTTTGAGATTGAAGTCGAAAACTTTTGAGATTGAAGTCGAAAACTTTTGAGATTAAAGTCGAAAACTTTTGATATTGAAGTCGAAAACTTTTGAGATTAAAGTTGAAAACTTTTGAGATTGAAGTCGAAAACTTTTGAGATTAAAGTCGAAAACTTTTGAGATTGAAGTCGAAAACTTTTGAGATTGAAGTCGAAAACTTCTGAGATTGAAGTCGAAAACTTTTGAGATTAAAGTCGAAAACTTTTGTGATTAAAGTCGAAAACTTTTGAGATTAAAGTCGAAAACTTTTGAGATTAAAGTCGAAAACTTTTGATATTGAAGTCGAAAACTTTTGAGATTAAAGGCGAAAACTTTTGAGATTGAAGTCGAAAACTTTTGAGATTAAAGTCGAAAACTTTTGAGATTAAAGTCGAAAACTTTTGAGATTGAAGTCGAAAACTTTTGAGATTTTTTGAGATTGAAGTCGAAAACTTTTGAGATTGAAGTCGAAAACTTTTGAGATTGAAGTCGAAATGTTTCGTGATTGAAGTCGAAATGTTTTGAGATTCGGGACTTTTTCAATGGTCTGTAGTAGACCATTGAAAAAGTTTTAAGATTTTTAATGGAAAGGAAACGTGCATATTTTGTAGAGTTTTGTTGTCATTTTATGAGTGCTGGGTAAAATTGTATGTAAGTTTGAGTTTTATGTCTGTATTGTAATATATGCGAAACTTTTTTGTGCTGCCATTTTGGCCAGGATATCTCAATGGGACTATCCTGGTAAAATAAAGAAATAAAAAAATAATGTTTTCGAAAGAAGTCTCTTCTGCTCACTAATGCAACATTTTTTTAATCCAAAAATACAGTAAAAACAGTTAATAATGTGAAATATTTTTTACAATATTTACAATTTCGTTAATAAAACTGCTTTACAAGTTTACGTATATAGTAAAGTGTCATTTATTCCTGTGATCCAAGCATCATTACTCCAGTCATCAGTGTCACATGATCCTTCAGAAATAACTCTAATGTGATGATTTGGTGCTCAAGAAACATTTCTTATTGTCATGCTGCTATTTTTGTGGAAACTGTGATACACTGTTTTTTCTGGATTCTTTGATGAATAGAACCGATTCCAAAGAACAGAATTTATTTGAATTTCTTTTTTTTTTTTTGTAACATTATATGTTTTTACGGACACTTTTGATAAATTAAACGCATAAAGCAGTGTATTTTATCCTCAAATCAACTATCTGTACCCATAGTAAAGAAATGAATTAGGAGACCAAATAGTTTCTTCTCAATAAAAGAGCACAATGATATGCGTCACCTCTATTTCAGAAAAGTTTCACAAACTGTTCTAACATTTGCTATGTTGGGCTGAATAACCTTTATTTAAACATCCAAAGTCTGTCTTGGTGAACGCTCCTTTTCTAGTTTAATTTGTCAGTGAATAAACAGAATGAGTTCAAATGATGAGAATAGTCTGAGATTTTATTGGAAATTTTGTCTCTGCATGAACAATGATTCGGATTTGTTCTGGGTTGCATGAACTATTTTTAAGCTCAAATGTGCATAACTGGGATTGAGACTAAAGAAATCCTGCGGGACAACCAGAAGGATCTTTCAGGCAACTTTTGTTGGCTTTTTAACTGGGATCAGATAACCAAACGCCTGTATATATTCATGTTTAGACACAGTGTTTGCTTCTGTTTTGTTTTAGCGAGTTCCAGCCACTCTTCGGCATTCGTGCATCTTGTAGGCACACATGTAAAATATACCTGCAAAACAAAACACACACGTTCCATGAGACCAACAGCACATGTTGGATATCAGACTAAAAAAATCATTACTGACCTGCAAAAAAGGTCATAAGCAGAGCGACCCAGCCCAGAATGTAGGACCATGAGAAACGCCAATCACCAAAGCGCTTCCCGAGGAAGTTCACCGTCACGCCGGTGTAGATTGCCATCGCGAGCAGAACAAAAAGTGCTGGAGGAGAAATGAATGAGACAGAGCGGTTTAGATGACTTACAGGTAAACCAAAAAATATTTTTTGTTTTTAAAAATTAGTTTTACTAGTGGATGCAGGACACTATAATTCATTTTTGTAAGTGAGGAGAGCAAAACAAAGTAAACTGTGACATATTATACCCCAAAATTCTTCATACAGTAACTACCAGTAAAATTTGGGACCAAAAATTATTCAGACTCTTTGACCTGAACATGTTTTGCGTCAGTGTTTTTTTCTTTACTACCCGAAGTGATTAAATTAGGGCTGTGCAAAAATTAATTGCGATTAATCGCATCCAAAATAAAAGTCTGTGTTTACTTAATATATTTGTGTGGGCTGTATATAATTATTTTGTATATATAAATACCTATGCATGCATGTATATATTTAAGAATTATTTGTGCTTAAATTCTGTATATATATATATAAATACAAAATCTATATTATATAAATATAAATATTTTATATATGAATAACACATTTTCTTAAATATATACATGCATGTGTGTGTATTTATATATACAAAATAATTATATATAGCACACATAAATATATTATGTAAACACAGACTTTTATTTTGGATGCGATTAATCGCAATTAATTTTTGCACAGCCCTAGATTAAATTAAAATAAATTAAATTCTGTATCAAAATTTATGCAAAAGTCAAGACAAGTATTTTGTTAAGGCATGGTTTGAAGGGAATTACAAACCTGCGCACAAACTGTATATTCATACACATAACTATAGAAATTCTTAATGTGCATGTGAACGCCATCAGCGTTTATCATCACAGGTTCACATTTAAAGTTTGTTTAGAGAGAACGGTGTCGTATTAGCGGCCCCTAATTTAATAACAAATGATAATTTCGACGGAAGTGCATTAATCAAAACTAACTTTAGCTGGAAATAACATTATTCAAGAACCGCTATATAACCAAGCCAATCTCTGTTACCTTAAATTAAATGTTTATCTCTGTAAAGTTGCTTTGAAACAATCTACATTGTTAAAAGCGCTATATAAATGAGGATGACTTGACTTGACAGAACCAGTGGAAATATCAACTGAACTGATAACTCTGACTTATTATTATAGCGAATAAACTGTGATAATGTGAGAAATGTTGAAGGTGTCTGAATATATTTTGGCTTGACTGTATGTCAGCTCACACTAGTCGGCCCATGTGTCACTAGAAGGGAAAGACTTACTGGAAATAAAAAACATGATCCCTGCAGCAAAGGAACGGTTGAATCGCTCAAAGGCGGAGAAGTGAGCGAAGGAGAGGATGCCTGCGATGATTCCCGCGAAACACGAGATCGCCGAGAGGATCATGAAGGCCCGGGTTGCGTTCCAGTAAGCTGAAATGAGAGAGATGGACACAGTAGCTTAGACTGATGGAGAAACATGGACTTTTCCCACAATGTTTTGCAATGAACTTCCTAAATTTGGGGAAACTGCAAATGGAAGATGGAATAATAATAATAATGTTTTAGTTTGTTTAGTCCACCTTACTTAAAGTCCCCCTGTGGTGAAAATCCAGCTTTTAATGATGCTTATATGTGTGTGGTGTTTTTAATATGCTTTAAGACACACCATGTGTAAGTTGATAAGTGGACAGCATTGCTGAGTATTTCCTCCTTAAAACTGCAGCGAACCAAAGACGGACTCAAAAACACGGTTTGGTGTTTCTGACGTCACAAACGACCTTGTAAGAGATTTTTTACCAGATCAATGTGTGATCGTCAACCAGTGGATCTCTGAGTGAGTGAGTGGAGGCGGGGCTCATTTGCAATCGTAATTAGTAATAAAAAAAACGATTATTACATGAACATTCTTAGATTTAGATTCATACCCCATTTAATTATTCTAAAGAAATAAATATGAAAATGTTCTGAATATTCAAGCATTTCCTGTTTGAAAAATAAATAAATAAATAAATAAATGAATAAATAATAATAGTTCCCATGGAAATTCATGGAAAACCTTAAATTTTTAGAAAATTCTAAATTAAATAGTAATTTTTCCGGCCTGGATATGTCAAATAATAGAAATGTCAAACTATCAGCCAAAATGTTGAGAGTTTTACCCCCAAAATTTTTATATATTAAACTTTTTTTCCAGGCTAGTTTATGTTGAGAAAATATGAGAATTTTAAAATGGATTTCCAGGCATGGAAACATCATTAAAAAATAGAAATGTCATGGATATGTCTATAATGTTACTCTTTACTCTCATATTTTTCAGTGAAATCTCTGCGATATGATTTTCTAGTGATCAGAAATTGCTGAAAAATAAGTTATGAATCAGCAAAAAGGTGTGGGAATGCATGAATAAAGTTCAGCAAAATATGACTATACACATTTATTTGATTAAAAAATACAGTAATAATATTTTTACAATTTAAAAAAACTAATTTCTGTTGTAATATACTTTAGAATGTAATTTATATCCTGTGACCAAAGCTGAATTTACAGCATCATTACTCCAGTCTTCAGTGTCACATGATCCTTCAGAATTCACTCTAATATGATGCACCCTGAGTTTAAAGTGTTTAAAGTTTAGTGTAAAGTGCTCTGTTCATGGGATTTTAACTCCTTGTCTAGAACCTTAAGGCATAAACTTAAAGGGTTTAGAAATTGAGTTGGGTTATTTTGACCCTGAGTGTATGAGAGAGGGGGTCGTGTGTGTTTGGGAAAGACAGTCAGTGACACTATTATGCATGCCTTGAATAAATACAGTCACACACTCACCGATACTGTCGGTCTGTGTGTAGCATTTGCCAGACATGCAGTATCTCCACAGGCCCTGGTGAGCGAAGCTGCCGGACAGTCTATACTGCATCCAGTAGTCCGTCGCCGTGGAGACCACCAGCAAGATGTTGCCCATGACGGCACAGAACAAACCCCCTCCCATGAAGCTGTACATCCCGAGGAACACTGGAGCTGCGCTGAGAGAGTTAATTACACACACACACACACACACATGCTCATTATGCAACTTACAAAACCATCAAGAACGTACACTTGCTATATTTCATGCTTACACTCTGAAAAATGCTGGGTTGTTTTAACCCAATTTTGGGTCAAATATGGACAAACCCACACTCTAAAAAATGCTGGGTTGTTTTAACCCAACTTTGGGTCAAATATGGACTAACCCAGCCGTTGGGTTAAATTTTTACATTACATTTTTAACCCAACATTTCGGGTTTGTCCATATTTGACCCAAAATTGGGTTAAAACAACCCAGCATTTTTTAGAGTGCAGCCATTGGGTTTGGGTTACATTTTTAAATAACATTTTTTAACCCAATGTTTGAGTTTATCCATATATGACCCAAAATTGGGTTAAAACAACCCAGGATTTTTTAGAGTGTGCACTGACTTGACTTGCTTGCACGACTACATGCCAACTAACACTCATTAGAGTGAGTGTTGGATTACACTTTAAAACATGCTGGGTTGTTTTAACCCAAATTTGGGTCAAATATGGACAAACCCAGCCATTGGGTTTGGGTTACATTTTTAAATAACATTTTTTAACCCAATGTTTGAGTTTGTCCATATTTGACCCATAATTGGGTTAAAACAACCCAGGATTTTTTAGAGTGTACACTGACTTGACTTGCTTGCATGACTACATGCCAACTAACACTCATTAGAGTGCGAGTAGACTGTGGGTTACACTCTAAAAAATGCTGGGTTGTTTTAACCCAAATTTGGGTCAAATATGGACAAACCCAGCCATTGGGTTTGGGTTACATTTTTGAATAACATTTTTTAACCCAATGTTTGAGTTTGTCCATATTTGACCCAAAATTGGGTTAAAACAACCCAGGATTTTTTAGAGTGTATACACTGACTTGACTTGCTTCCATGATTACATGCCTCATTAGTAGACTGTAGGTTACACTCTAAAAAATGCTGGGTTGTTTTAACCCAAATTTGGGTCAAATATGGACAAACCCAGCCATTGGATTACCATTTTAAACACGTTTAAGTTTGTCCATATTTGATTTTGACCCAATATTGGGTTAAAACAACCCAGCATTTTTAGAGAGATAAAGTGCAAGTTAGTAGAATAGGTTATAAAGTAAAGTTACTGATAGTCAGTAGAATATCTGTTGTGGAGCATCAGAATTAAGTGTTTTATAATACTCTAATGACTAATAGTTGACATGGAGTCACTTATAGTTAGTGAATTGACCATCGAAATAAAGTGTTACACTCAAAAATCCAAAATGGATAATAAATTCTACTGTTAATAAAGAAAACAATGGCATTTTTTCTATCATTAAGCATTTTTTGAGTTTAAATATGCTTCATTTTCATTAAAATAATGTCACAAAACCAAATAATGAATCAAATAGGCTGCATTTTCTTAAAGATGCTATATGTAGTTTTTAGCGGCCTCTATTGGTGATGTTTCAGATTGCAACCAATTTTTCCAAGAGCGCTCGTGCTCGAACACAAGAGCGATCACTCACGGTACACGGACACACTAAGACTTAAGACACACCGGAGAAAGCGTCACACAACTCATGTAAACTCCCACTGCAACGCTACTGTTATGAGCTGGACTGAACTAACGCTCCACGCTCAAACATGTGTGTGTTATCTAGCATAAGGCATTTCACTAACTATTGGTGTATCTTTCACAATCAGCAATGTCAACATCGGTGAGTGTATAATATGATAACGAAAACGGTTACAGTAAGAGTGTAGCAGTAAGTAACATTACTGTACTGAACGTGTCTGGAAGTGTGTGTTATACACAATACGATAGTAGCGTTAGACAGTAGATCTAGTAGCCTACATCAAATAAAGTTACATATTAAAGCACCGACTTTGTGTTATCCTGGAAAAGTCTTTTGTGTTCATTTCATGTCTCATATATGTTGTAGTTTACCTTGCCGTTTCATTACAGTTTACCGTTATTTCAGCATATATGAAAACTTGTAATTTATGACAATAAAATTAGCGGAGGTCTCTCCATAATTCAAACGCTCTGCTGATGTTGATCCGTGTTTTCATTCGAAAATTTGAAAAATACCCTTTGACTTTATTTATAGAATTTAGAACATTGATAGAATGTTCAGCATTCAAAATGTAACAGTGTTCTGACATCATCACGCTACTTGAACACTGAACTGTCTTGTCTAATATGCGAGTTCACATTGACTGAAATCAAGACTCTCGAGAGACACAACAGCTCTGATTCATTTACACAGAGCCTTAAAACCTAACAAATCATTTTGCGAATATTATCTTCCATGAAATCCAAATGCATTGATCATAGACGTTCAACTCCTCACATCGCCAGATTGATCTCACAGGCTGTACGTGCGTTTCCTGTGTTTTCACAGCCCACGTCAGAGTTTGCACAAGCAAAACAGCATCGGTCATTCATACGTCACAGCGGATGATAGGAAGTAGTTGGACACACAGTGTCAAACTGCAATGCCACAAAACAACATGTAAACAATACATAAACAGCACAGAAACACAAACATGAGTCAAACTAAATCATTATGACCATCAGGCAGAGTTAGACCCAAAACATGCTCTACTCAAGCACACGTGAAACTCGACAAATATGGTGCAAAAGTTCATTTATATCAGTAATTCAACTTAAAAGGTGAAACTAATATATTACATAGACTCATTGAGATATTTCAAGCCTTTATTTGTTATAGTGTTGATGATTACAGATATTCAAACCTTTTCACAATGTTCTAATATTGAATTTGGGGTTTTCATAAGCTGTAAGCCATAATCATCAAAATTATAACAAATAAAGGCTTGAAATATCTGTAATGAGTCTATATAATATATTAGTTTCACCTTTTAAGTTGAATTACTGATTAAATCTTAGTTTGATAATGTTCTTAATATAATATATTGTATTTTTAAGGGATTTTATGACACTGCAGTAGATATAATCCATTTATAACCTGTTAACCGCACTTTTTGTGCATAAACCAAAAATTAAACATCCTGTCATAAATCGTGAATGCTTTGGAGAACAGAATTAAGTTTTGTCATAACATGTGACAGATTATTGTTGTGGAAAAAAAAAATGATTAGTTTATTATTATATTTATATTTAATTGTATTATTATAAAATTAACGTTTATTATTATTAATAATAGAAGTTTAAGTTTATTATTATGAAATATTTGAAAAAATTAAATTTTATTTTGGACGCAGTACAAAAAGTTTTCAATGCACCCATTTAACCTTTCTGAATCATGTCCATGATTGTGTGTGTGTGTTGCCAAATGAAGTCTAATGAAGTAAAAGATAAAAAACCTAAATATACAATTTGTTAGAAGTGTTATAATGTTTATCTCTAGACAAATTTGGGATGCAAAATGGAAACATCACCTGAAAACACACTTTCTTTTGCAGTAAAACGCAAGTTCTGCACGTGCATGTGAAACGACTGATGGTTATAAACTACCTGGAGACTGAACCTGTGCAAACATCCAAACTCAAACTCAATGTGCAAAAGCGTTCACAGTAACAAGTCACAAATGCATTTCAATGTGAAACTTGCATGCATTGCATTGCAAACCTCTGCCATTGACATTTAAATTAATAGTCTTCAGGGGTAAAAACATTTCACAGCTAAAAAAATAAATAAATAATGAAACAAAGAAATAATGCAAAAGGCCTGCAAATTGATATTTGTGCAAATATGTGATGGTCAGAAGACTTAAAAAAAACATCGCAAAATCCACAAATTCTCGTCTCAGGTGTCGGAGGGATTCTTACCTGAGATCTTCAGGATAAATGAATGAGAGAGAAAGTGGGATCCCGCAGCGAGCGAAACGTCAAAAGGAGCCGCTAGACCAAACTCCAAAAAGTTATCCTCTCTGCTTTTCTGTCGATGCCGGCAAAATCCTTTAAAACGAGCCACACAGAACAAACGCACTTGAGCTTGATGGAGTCGAGGCACGTGAGCGCTGGGTTTCGGGAAGGCTTTGTGTTGCTGTATCGGCCGTTCTGGAACTGTGATGTGCAGAGGCTTGCAGTCCTGCGGTGCTCAATGCAACATGCTGAAGCGCACACTTTCATTCAGCGTCCATGAGCTGCTGCTGGTGACACACACACACACACACACACACACCAGACTGGCCCACTACATATGATCATAAACACAACCGAACTTTGCCCGCCCTTGAAAATGTATACAACTCCTATTTAAAGCACTAATGCCATGAAGTAAGTGAATAGGAGTGAGTGAGATTTAACAGATGAAACAACTACTGAGCTGAACGATACTCCACAGTGATGAACCCAAAAATAAGGTCAGCTGCATTGGGATAGCAATACCGGATTTTCCCACAGGTTTTGGGAAGTGGGAAAGAGTGTGCTATTCTCCCCGTATGAAAATTTTGTGCTTTTTAATGTTAAATTCATCAATATGGTGCAATTGGAGAGTTCAAAATGAAGAGTTTCAACCCATATTCAGTGTGCAAATTGAACAAAGAAAAACTTTTAACTCTTTTAGACATTACACTACTACATGATAATAGTTATAATATTAAACCCATGATATGTTGTAAAACAAATGCACTGAAAACTCATTTCTATAAGTACATGATCTTTTATTTCGACGGAAACAGCATCAAGCTTTTATTTTGTCAAAAAAAACATGGTTTCCACACACACACACATGAGTGGACTGGACACAGGAGGATTTTCATTCGCAGTTTGGTGCACTTATAAAGATTGTTCAAAACTAGGGTGACCACCATCAAACAAACCAAATGTGGGACAATTATAAGTTTATGTGGGACATGTTACCAACACTAAAACGTACCCTGAAACTGTTATATAATGTCTATCTAACTTGATAAAAACATTTATATTCCGCCTTTCAGCTGATAAAAATGATTTCCAAAATAAAAAAAGTCATTTAAATTCAGCATCACTGAGCCCAAAGGCAGCAGGAATCATGTGTATAAATATTTCCAGTCCAACAAAATAAACAATGAAGAAATAAAATATAAAACGACATGAAATTAGATATAGACAGTCTTAGATATTAAGAATATATTAAAAACCAAAAACGTTCATATTTTTAGAAAGGATGTGAATTAAAACAACCACAGCAGGTTAAACAACAACAGATAAATTCAGTTAAATTAAAATTTTAATTTCTCTAATTATCCATTTGTTTTCCGACAGGGAGCATATATGAAACGAATCACCGGTCCACATTTTGATTGACAGCCGTCACAACCAACGAGTGACCGTGTTTACTCCTTTCTTTTTTTAACCATTGGATAGTGTATAGCTATAACACAGCTGTTGTATTTATACTTATGACGAAGCGCTGCAAACTACGCAGCAAAAGTAATAAGTAGAATGCTTTCTTAAAAAGGCAAAAGAACGCATGCACGTTTTCTTAATATGATATTAAAAACTAATAGACTGATGAAATTGCAGGACATTTCCTCAATATGCGACGTGCGGGACAAATGCTGTGCAGTACAACGCAAAGCGAGACGGGTGGTCACCCTATTCAAAACACTACATGGTCAATAACCTTTTTGAACCGTAAAGGTTTCTGAAAACCGTTGAGTTTGTGCTTAAAAGAAAACATATCTGCCATTTTTTTTTAAATTAAGTTTATTTTTGACCCCATTGGCAGATATTTGTCCAGGAAAATAAGAGTTTTTTTTGCCTCATCATTCAGAAGAAGTTAATGCACTATAAAAAGAATATTTTCAAGATTTGTTATCACAGCATTTTTTCTTTTGTCAAATCAACTTAAATAATTTATTTAGTTGAGATAACTTATTATTTTGAGTTTCTGATGATTAAATCATTCTCCTTCATTGTATTAACTCACTTTTTCCAGTATAATCAACTTAAAATATTAAGGCAACCAGGCTATTTACTTTTTTAAGTTAAACCAACAATATTTTTTTTACAGTGTAGTAATCACAACATTTTTTCTTTTGTCAAATCAACTTAAATAATTTATTTAGTTCAGATAATATAATATTTTGGAGTTTCTGATGATTAAATCATTCTCCTTCATTGTATTAACTCACATTTTCCAGTTCAATGAACTTAAAATTTTAAGGCAACCAGGTTACTTACTGTTTTAAGTTAAACCAACAATATTTTTTTACAGTGTGCGTCAGTTTTGCGCCGGGTGCAAGATAGAGCCCCATATGTGTAATTTAGGGCACAATTCAAACAAGATCAAAATATTTGTTGTCTCTCGCCATTGACTACCATACAATATTTTTCCAGAATAAGGTCCCATGGTCGACCGGAAGGGGAGGGGCTTAGGCTCTCTATAGGTTAAGGGTGAACTCACTCAGATTCACACTGTGGTGGCCATTCTCACACACGGGTTCAGCGAGGGCAAAGGACCCGATCGCTCAGGCTGCGCCATGTGAAAAAACACAGGAACAACAGTCAGTGAACACAAAAGAGCCGTCCGATTCAATGTTTGGTACTGTACCTGCTGGAGTCTGTACTCAGGAGGAGCTTTCAGTCGTCCTCTCAGCAGATTCTGAGGCTTCAGAGTAGATCGACAGACCACGACCTGAAGAGAGGAGACACTTAAAGGTAGTCTGGCAATCAACAGACCAAGCTCAATCTTTTAAGATTAACCCTCTGATGGTCTTCCTTTATGAGTCACGTCTTGGGCCTTCCCGGTCAGGAGTGACCGGAGGCCTAAAAATGAAACTTCTTCCATCCCTGTAAAACCAATGCAATTTATTTTTGTTCTATAATATTTATTCTTTTTAATTTAGCATTTTGAGACAATTTGATTGAATTCATTAATATTTATGCAATATTTATGGTCTATTTTTTCAATGGAAATATATTATATATATATATGGGCTCTCACCTTCTCTACGGCTCTAGACACAGGATACCTGGGGCCTCGATCTGCCGGGAAAGAGTCAGAGAACAGATTCATGTATTAGTTCAGATCCTATGAGATGCATTTGAAGCCACTGTAAAAATGCAACACACTTATCAAACATTAACTTAAGGTAACACTTTACAGTAAGGTATCATTAGGTAACAACGAGCAATACATTTGTTACAGATGGAACCGTATTGTAAATTATAAACACTGAAATAAATAAAAAAAATTAAAAACTTATTTTATTTTTTAGCTATTTGTCAAGGCAACATCTCACTTTCCTTTAGCATTAAAACGTATTACATTATATAGACATATTAAACAAATGAAAATGACAAAAGCACAACAAATGACTAAAACTTTAACTAAAACTAAAATTAAAGCATAAAATATAAATATAAAATCTAGTTAAAAAAATTACACCAGTGATCGCACATTTATTTCATTTATAATTTTATTAAGACGCCAAATTGCTATATCATTTAAAATCCAGAAACAATTATGATAATTAACTATATTATTTAAATTTTCTGATTATTCAATTTAATAAATTAACCTATTTATTGCACATTGGAGTCTTATATATATATAATATATATATATATATATATATATATATATTGCAGTGCCACTGTTTTATAAAACCAATAATATTTTGACTTGTAAACCTTCTTAGAGTGATATAAGATCTCCACCAACATCCTAAACACTGTGTTGGGGTTTATTTTGCCATTAAAAAAATAATTCTAGAATTGAATGTTTAATTTCCTGGATGTTTACCAAAAATAAATAAAAATGTAAACATAAATGTTTCATTATCATTATTAGTATTGGCTGATTTGTTATATTTATTCATTTGGGAGTAGCTTTTATACAAAGTGACTTCCAGTGCATTCAAGGCATGCATTTTGCCAGTATGTGTTTCCTGGGAATTAAACCCATGGCCTTGATGTTGCAGGCGCCATGTTCTACAGTTGAGCAACAGAGAGTTGAGGATTGCTCACCGCGTGTCCCGCAGTAGAGGAAGCCCAGCAGGATAAGGAGGAGGAGAACAGCACAGGGGATCCCAGCAGCGAAACCAGCGATGGACGCTCCACTGAGACCAGCGGCTGACAACACAACATCATCAAAAACTCTCTCTGATCACCTCTAAGACTATGAAGACTAATGAAAATGGCCTCATTGCAAACACACAAGTTTGCTTTTGGACTGATATATATTTTTGCCGGCTCTATTTTTCAATAACAGCCTTTTTAAAAACAACCGGTGCCGAAATATGCCTTTTTCATAGTATATAAAGCTCTTTTATCTCTAAATCTGAATGAAAAGTGGATTCCTGATTAGGTGAGCAGTGTATTCAGTGTGCGAATCATGTCACCTGGTCCAATCCGAAGCTGCTCTGATGGTTCTCCTGCGCTTCTGCCGGCTTTAGGGATCATCCTGAAGTAGTAAGTGGATTTTGGGTCGATTCCTGAGACGGTTGTGTTTCTGGCCGAGGCCGGCATCAGTCGGACGGTGTGGAAGTCTGTCATGATGTTGCGTTTGGGTTGAGACGGGCTTGAGAGCTCTGGGCCCTTCATCTGGAGAACAAAACCTTTAAAAGTACAATGACACTTTTAGTACGCAATGAAATGCAAACTAGAATGGATGCAGCCTGTGAATAAATGCATGTACCTGTAATCACAGAGGTGAGAGGAACATGCCACATTAGAGTTACTTCTGTTTGATCGTCACTCAGGAAAACACTTGAATTTGAGATTTGAGGGCCTTAAAAAAAGATTGAAATTGCAGGTTTTGAGAAGAATCAAATCTTTTAATATTTACTGTGGATAAATCAGAATTGCGAGATATAAAGTCAGAATTGCGAGATATAAAGTCGGAATTGCGAGATATAAAGTCGGAATTGCGAGATATAAAGTCAGAATTATGAGATATAAAGTCAGAATTGCGAGATATAAAGTCAGAATTGCATGATATAAAGTCAGAATTGCATGATATAAAGTCACAATTGCAGGTTATAAAGTCAGAATTGTGTGTTATAAAGTCAGAATTGCGAGATATAAAGTCAGAAATGATTGATATAAAGTCAGAATTGCAGGTTATAAAGTCAGAATTGTGAGATATAAAGTCAAAATTGCATGATATTAAGTCGCAATTGCAGGTTATAAAATCAGAATTGCGAGATATAAAGTCAGAATTGCGAGATATAAAGTCACAATTGCAAGATATAAAATCAGAATTGCGAGATTATAAAGTCAGAATTGCGAGATATAAAGTCAGAATTGCGAGATAAAAAGTCAGAATTGTGAGATAAAAAGTCAGAATTGCGAGATATAAAGTCACAATTGCGAGATATAAAGTCAGAATTGCGAGATATAAAGTCACAATTGCAGATATAAAATCAGAATAGTGAGATATAAAGTCAGAATTGTGAGATAAAAAGTCAGAATTGCGAGATATAAAGTCACAATTGCGAGATATAAAGTCAGAATTGCGAGATATAAAGTCACAATTGCAAGATATAAAATCAGAATAGTGAGATATAAAGTCAGAATTGCGAGATATAAAGTCAGAATTGCGAGATAAAAAGTCAGAATTGCGAGATATAAAGTCAGAATTTCGAGATAAAAGTCAGAATTGCGAGATAAAAAGTCAGAATTGCGAGATATAAAGTCAGATTGCGAGATATAAAGTCAGAATTGCGAGATATAAATCAGAATTGCGAGATATAAAGTCAGAATTGCGAGATATAAAGTCACAATTGCAAGATATAAAATCAGAATTGCGAGATATAAAGTCAGAATTGCGAGATATAAAGTCAGAATTGCGAGATATAAAGTCAGAATTGCGAGATAAAAAGTCAGAATTGCGAGATATAAAGTCACAATTGCAAGATATAAAATCAGAATTGCGAGATATAAAGTCAGAATTGCGAGATATAAAGTCAGAATTGCGAGATATAAAGTCACAATTGCGAGATATAAAGTCAGAATTGCGAGATATAAAATCAGAATTTCGAGATAAAAAGTCACAATTGCGTGTTTTAAAGTCAGAATTGCGAGATATAAAGTCAGAATTGCGAGATATAAAGTCACAATTGCAAGATAAAAAGTCAGAATTGCGAGATAAAAAGTCAGAATTGCAAGATAAAAAGTCAGAATTGCGAGATATAAAGTCAGAATTGCAAGATAAAAAGTCAGAATTGCGAGATATAAAGTCCGAATTGCGAGATATAAAATCAGAATAGTGAGATATAAAGTCAGAATTGCGAGATATAAAGTCAGAATTGCGAGATAAAAAGTCAGAATTGCGAGATATAAAGTCAGAATTTCGAGATAAAAAGTCAGAATTGCGAGATAAAAAGTCAGAATTGCGAGATATAAAGTCAGAATTGCGAGATATAAAGTCAGAATTGCGAGATATAAAATCAGAATTGCGAGATATAAAGTCAGAATTGCGAGATATAAAGTCACAATTGCAAGATATAAAATCAGAATTGCGAGATATAAAGTCAGAATTGCGAGATATAAAGTCAGAATTGCGAGATATAAAGTCAGAATTGCGAGATAAAAAGTCAGAATTGCGAGATATAAAGTCACAATTGCAAGATATAAAATCAGAATTGCGAGATATAAAGTCAGAATTGCGAGATATAAAGTCAGAATTGCGAGATATAAAGTCAGAATTGCGAGATATAAAATCAGAATAGTGAGATATAAGGTCAGAATTGCGAGATATAAAGTCAGAATTTCGAGATAAAAAGTCACAATTGCGTGTTTTAAAGTCAGAATTGCGAGATATAAAGTCAGAATTGCGAGATATAAAGTCACAATTGCAAGATAAAAAGTCAGAATTGCGAGATAAAAAGTCAGAATTGCAAGATAAAAAGTCAGAATTGCGAGATATAAAGTCACAATTGCGAGATAAAAAGTCAGAATTGCAAGATAAAAAGTCAGAATTGCGAGATATAAAGTCAGAATTGCGAGATATAAAGTCAGAATTGCGAGATATAAAGTCAGAATTGCAAGATAAAAAGTCAGAATTGCGAGATATAAAGTCAGAATTGCGAGATATAAAGTCAGAATTGCAAGATAAAAAGTCAGAATTGCGAGATATAAAGTCAGAATTGCGAGATATAAAGTCAGAATTGCGAGATATAAAGTCAGAATTGCGAGATATAAAGTCAGAATTGCGAGATATAAAGTCAGAATTGCGAGATAAAAAGTCACAATTGCGTGTTTTAAAGTCAGAATTGCGAGACAAAAAGTCATAATTGCGAGATAAAAAGTCAGAATTGCGAGATATAAAGTCAGAATTGCAAGATAAAAAGTCAGAATTGCGAGATATAAAGTCAGAATTGCGAGATATAAAGTCAGAATTGCGAGATATAAAGTCAGAATTGCGAGATATAAAGTCAGAATTTCGAGATAAAAAGTCACAATTGCGTGTTTTAAAGTCAGAATTGCGAGATATAAAGTCAGAATTGCGAGATATAAAGTCAGAATTGCGAGATATAAAGTCAGAATTGCGAGATATAAAGTCACAATTGCAAGATAAAAAGTCAGAATTGCGAGATAAAAGTCAGAATTGCAAGATAAAAAGTCAGAATTGCGAGATATAAAGTCACAATTGCGAGATAAAAAGTCAGAATTGCAAGATAAAAAGTCAGAATTGCGAGATATAAAGTCAGAATTGCGAGATATAAAGTCAGAATTGCGAGATATAAAGTCAGAATTGCAAGATAAAAAGTCAGAATTGCGAGATATAAAGTCAGAATTGCGAGATATAAAGTCAGAATTGCAAGATAAAAAGTCAGAATTGCGAGATATAAAGTCAGAATTGCGAGATATAAAGTCAGAATTGCGAGATATAAAGTCAGAATTGCGAGATATAAAGTCAGAATTGCGAGATAAAAAGTCACAATTGCGTGTTTTAAAGTCAGAATTGCGAGATAAAAAGTCAGAATTGCAAGATAAAAAGTCAGAATTGCGAGATATAAAGTCAGAATTGCAAGATAAAAAGTCAGAATTGCGAGATATAAAGTCAGAATTGCGAGATATAAAGTCAGAATTGCGAGATATAAAGTCAGAATTGCGAGATATAAAGTCAGAATTTCGAGATAAAAAGTCACAATTGCGTGTTTTAAAGTCAGAATTGCGAGATATAAAGTCAGAATTGCGAGATATAAAGTCAGAATTGCGAGATATAAAGTCAGAATTTCGAGATAAAAAGTCACAATTGCGTGTTTTAAAGTCAGAATTGCGAGATATAAAGTCAGAATTGCAAGATAAAAAGTCAGAATTGCGAGATATAAAGTCAGAATTGCGAGATATAAAGTCAGAATTGCGAGATATAAAGTCAGAATTGCGAGATATAAAGTCAGAATTTCGAGATAAAAAGTCACAATTGCGTGTTTTAAAGTCAGAATTGCGAGATATAAAGTCAGAATTGCGAGATATAAAGTCAGAATTGCGAGATATAAAGTCAGAATTTCGAGATAAAAAGTCACAATTGCGTGTTTTAAAGTCACAATTGCAAGATAAAAAGTCAGAATTGCGAGATATAAAGTCAGAATTGCAAGATAAAAAGTCAGAATTGCGAGATATAAAGTCAGAATTGCAAGATATAAAGTCAGAATTGCGAGATATAAAGTCAGAATTTCGAGATAAAAAGTCACAATTGCGTGTTTTAAAGTCACAATTGCAAGATAAAAAGTCAGAATTGCGAGATATAAAGTCAGAATTGCAAGATAAAAAGTCAGAATTGCGAGATATAAAGTCAGAATTGCGAGATATAAAGTCAGAATTTCGAGATAAAAGTCACAATTGCGTGTTTTAAAGTCACAATTGCAAGATAAAAAGTCAGAATTGCGAGATATAAAGTCAGAATTGCAAGATAAAAAGTCAGAATTGCGAGATATAAAGTCAGAATTGCAAGATATAAAGTCAGAATTGCGAGATATAAAGTCAGAATTGCGAGATATAAAGTCAGAATTGCAAGATATAAAGTCAGAATTGCGAGATATAAAGTCAGAATTGCAGGTTATAAAATCAGAATTGCAAAATATAAAGTCAGAATTGCGAGATATAAAGTCAGAATTGCATGATAAAAAGTCAGAATTGCGAGATATAAAGTCGCAATTGCATGATATAAAGTCAGCATTGCGAGATATAAAGTCAGAATTGCGAGATATAAAGTCAGAATTGTGGGATATAAACTATTCTGAGGGGAAAAAAGTCAGTCTTTTTTTCCTTAGAATTGCCTGATAACTCGAAATTGTGAGAAAAGATGCCAGAATTGTGAGACAAAGTCTCAATTCTCTGTTTTTTCTCACAATTGCGACTTTATATCTCGCAACTGCGACTTTATTTCTCGCATTTGCGACTTTATTTCTCAGAATTGTGACTTTATATCTTACAATTGCGACTTTATATCTCGCAATTATGAAAAGTTTACAATGCATTTGGAAACTAAATAATCCATACCGAGCAGCGTCGTGTCCATGGTTGTGTTTCCGAGAGGGTTGATGGCAGCGCAGGTGTAGGTGTCCAGGTCTGAAGAAGTGGCATTAAAATCGTGAATAAACAGCTGAGTTGTGTCTGTACTGATCTGGTATTTGGACCCAGTTTGCAAGCGGTCTCCATTCTTGATCCAGCGCACAAGGGCTTGAGGTGTGGCATCAGCAGAGCAGCGGATCACAACCGTCGTCCGTTCATCTTCACTCATGCTGGTTAAGATTACAGGCAGAAAATCCACAGGAGCACCTGCAACATCCTTTAATGACTTACAGACTTCCTAATCGAAATGAAACCTCAAACTAAAAAATTTGAGCACTCTGTATAGATGGTGGATTAATAAACGAATGTGTGTGTGTATATATATATATATATAAATATATATATATATATATACATATACTGTATATATATACACATATATACTGTATATATATATATAATATTTATTTATTTATAATTTCACCAGGTTTGGGCCTCCAAAGTGGATATATAATGAAATATATATATATATATAATATTAATTTATTTATAATTTCTGCAGGTTTGGGCCTGTGGAGATAAGTATTAATTACACATTTAATTCATTCAAAATAAAAATATATTGAACAATTTTTAGTTAAATTTGCACAATTGTAACCCAATACGTGTGTGCAATGTATTTCTATTCTTATTAGGGTATTGTGTAGTTTAGTAACACACTTCAACAAAACTTGTTTGCCATTATTAAAACTGAATCGATTTTTCTGTGCACTATTTTAATGACATATGGAAAATCAATCACTTATTAGGTTACATTTCAGTTCAGATGCTGCCTATGTAGGCAAAACACAAAGATAAATAGCAAGAGTAAAGAGTGATTCTACAACTTCATCTCAACTAAATTTGCAATATTCATTATTTTGTTACAAATTAATTCTCTAGAATATCCTTAACAATATTAGAAGTTATGATGACTATTACTAATTTATTTATAAATAATATTCACCATAAAATAACTTCTAAAAATACAAGAAAATTCCCAGTACAGTTGATTTGCAACTAGATTTAGTGAGAAACAGAGCATGACTTACGGGGAATGACACGGCAGTGCGTCTGATTCAGAGGATGGTCAGCTTTACAGATGATTTCTTGTCCATGTAATCTCTGAGTGTCATTGATAGTGATGCTGTAATTGCCGTATCCACTGGCATTCTGGCTCAGGCCGGGGAAAGACAGCTGTGCTTCTGGAGCGCCTCCTGGCCACAGACAGAGGAACTGCAGCGATGCTCCACTCACGGCCTGGACTGAACACGCCGGCCCGCCACTGGGAGCCTCTGCCGGGATGAAAAGCAGAGTTGATGAGAGCATTGACTAACATTTGAACAGACCGGTTTAACTTTAAATGACTTGCCGAATAGAGTGCCGAAGTTATGACGTCACTTTGTAGGCCAAATGCAGACGTGAGTTAGCATTTTAGCATTTCCGGTTCCCTCGCCCTGAAGTCTATGGGATTTTTGAATGGGTTTTTGGTTAACAAAGCCTATAAATATTTTCATGTTTTGATCGATGACATAAAATACACCACTTATAACCTGTTATAACCACGTCCATGTACTTGTGTGATTGACACCGTTTTATATACTCGCCAAGTCTGATTTTTACCGCCATTTTGTTGATTAAAAGGTTTTTACAGAGAGGATTTTGGATCTCTTTTCATCATCCAATAAATAGCCTAAAAAAATGCACTTTCAAAATATTTTTAGGATTAAAATTGCATATAAATCAGACGAATGATATATAAACAAATATTTATATGAATAAGGTGTATGTAAGTGCAGCTGATGTTGAGATGAAAAAAGATAAAGCTGTAAAATGTAATAAAATAAACACTTAAATGTGCACTGTAAAAAATTTGTAATCACAACATTTTTTCTTTCGTCAAATCAACTTAAATAATTTATGTGGTTCAGATAACATAATATTTTGAGTTTCTGATGATTAAATCAATCTCCTTCATTGTATTAACTCAATTTTTCCATTTCAGTGAACTTAAAATTTTAAGACAACCAGGTTACTTCATTTTTTAAGTTAAACCAACAATATTTTTTTACAGCGTGTATTTTGTATGTTTTCTTGCCTGAAAAAATATCAAGCCATCCCAAGAGTACATTTACATGCATACTTACATGCTAGTATTCCCATATTTTGCCCATATTAAATCTGAACTGCAAACTCATACCATAGATAATTACAGTGAGGTTTCTCTGAAGAGTGGCCTTAGTTCTGGCGTTGACCATCACGCAAGTGTAAACGCCACTTTGACTCGTCTTAATATTGCTGAGATGGACTGTTCCAGTTCCAGACGTTGCAATAGACTCTCCATTGAGAAACCACGATGTGGAGGGGGCCGGTTCACCCTCGGCCTGACAGGAGAGGAACAGAGACTCTCCCGAAACAAAGACTGCTTTTGTGGGACTGACCTTGAGAACCGGCCTATCAGGTCCATCTAAGGCCAGAAAAAGAGGGAGAATAAGATGTAGGAAATGAAACGGGCCACTGTTGGGGTTGGGGAAGTAGAAGCATCTTAATGACATTCTGCCTAAGGTAACAAGAAACATTCCCATATATACTCACACAGCACTGTGATGTTCCTGTAAAGCGTCTCGTTGCTGAACGGGTTGGTTAGTGATACAGTATAGCGACCCGCATCACTCCTCCTGGGCTGGTTTATTGTGAGTTTCTGTCCAGCGATGGAATAATGAGATGCATTTATTACCTGGAGCCCATTAAAAAACCAGCGCACCTCTTTGGCCTCCCCTCGCATTGTGCTGTAATACAAGGAGAACTTGGCTTCCCCCTCAACGCAGTCGTCTGAATCAGTGTGCAGGGATGCATTCATGATGATATCTGTGGAGAAAGAGACAGATCACACTTATCAACACTGTTTTTGCTGCTGAAGGTGCAAACACACTTATAAATACTCTTATATGCATGTCTCATGAGACAAGGAGCAATAGATAATTTGGTTTTAGATTTATCGGCCAATGTTACATTTTAGATGTAACAATGCATTTTAACTTTGGTTACAATTATTTATGAAAAGATATATAATGCATTACAACGTACATTATTTTAAATGGCATCTAAAAACAAGGTGTGTATGAAATTTTTTTCTAAAACTTAAAGAAATAGATTCTTGAGAACCAGCTGTGTCAGCATCAGTGCATTTAATGTATATAATATGAGTAGAGATGGTCTGTTCTCTCTTTTTGTATCTGATTGGTTTTATATGATTTTCATAGACTAATATGTGTAGCTGATATTACTATTGATAGTTGTTTTGCAATGTTTTAATGTCTTAAATTGTGTGCACCTGCTCAAGGACTGCGGATGAAAATTAGCTTCGGCTAACTCTGGGACAAAGCATCTCTTCGCAAGACTAATGTATTTTGTGCATTGTCCCTGATAAATAAAAAAAGGAAAAAAAAATATAATTTAATGGTCGAAATTCAAAATTTGAACACTCACTTTACAAAATACTTATCCAAATAAATAAAAAGCTAAATCTATTTGACAAGGCTGCTAGTACAGTAGCTACACGTTCAAACCAGTAGGTTTTGTTAATTAGTAGAGCCAGACCGATATATCGGCAGACCGATATTATCGGCCGATATTAGGCATTTTCCAAACCATCGGTATCGGCAGTTATAATGGCCGATAAATGAATATTTCAAAAATAACATAAAAACAGATGAAACACGCTTGAACCATGTCATGAGTGTTGGAGTTGTATAGTTTGTCCACCAGAGGGCACTCTACACGTCCCTGTTGGCAACACTAGTTGAGTTGTTCGCGATACATACATTGCTTGAATAACAATTAAAAGATCATCCCCATAAGTTCTCTTAACTCAAATAAGCATGACAAAATTTGTGACTATAATGGCCAGTTTAAAAAAATAAATAAATAAAATATCGGCCGATATATCGGATTTTAAAACCCAAAAATATCTGTATCGCTATCTGCCTTCAAAATCCTTTATCGGTTGTGCTCTATTAATGAGTTATTGATTAACTGTCTATCAGTAATTATAATATGTTACCCCACACACATACTGAATTCTCAGCCATATTCTCCATACTCACCGTAAACAACGAGGTCAAATGTAGCGCTGACCTTTGCCTCCCCGATTTTAGTCATTTCCACAGTGTATCTACCGTTATAACTAAGGGACATATTTCTGAAGGTGAGGGATCCGTCCGGTTCTGGCTTTAAAATGTCTAAAGCAACACCTGAAAGTGAGCCGTCACCAACGGTCCATCTGGCGATCAGCCGGTCTCCCATAAACCACATGACCTCGGGCCGAGAGACACCAGCGTGGGACACACCGAGCGTCACATTGGTGCCCACAAGAGCTTCAACCGATACGGGTCCCGTGGGTGTGATGGTCAGATAACATAGGTTACCTATAGTATCAGGGGACAAAAAAAAGAGCAATAATTTTTCTTGCAAAACTCTGCCATGATGTTACAGTGTGGGTGTTTGCAAGTGTAAAACATCTAAGATTTTGCTTCTTCAATGTACAGATTAACCCTGAAATCTACAACGTTAAAATACCTTAACCATTACATCCCAATGTGATTATTTATGTTATTCAAAAAAGTGGGAAAATTGGTCAACAATGTTGAATTGGTAACTTACTTTTAAACAAAACCCAGATGTTAGATATTAGTAAACGACTATATTTAGAGTTGATTAGATACTCAGAGAAAGATATAAGAGTAGCCTTCATGAACTTTGTTAAAATACACGTAAATTGAAACATGAATTAAACAAAAATATAAAATAACATTTAATTGATCATTGGCTGAGCTAACTTTAGCTATTACATGGAAGGTAGCTGCTAGCCTAATAGTAATACTGACTAACATGTCTAGTACTGTTACATGTCTAGTAACAATACTAGTCACTAACATGTTCACTAAGTTAGTGATTGACAACAGTGTTTTTAAGACATAAACGATTAAAAACCTCGACGATTATAATACCACACACCGCAAGGATTTCATAAGGCATGTTATTATTGTACATGAAAATCGACATAACAGTTTTTGTGTTGCAATCA